AGGAATTTTTTGTGGCAACTGGTATATCATGCAAAATTTGAGCTTTAAGGGGCACTTTTTTTTTAATCTTAGCACAAATGTTCTTGGTTCATGGTACAGGTAGTGCATGATGTGGATTTGCAGAAGCTACCTGTGAGATTTGCAATGGACAGAGCTGGACTGGTTGGAGCAGATGGCCCAACGCATTGTGGTGCTTTTGATGTCACCTATATGGCGTGCCTCCCAAACATGGTAGTGATGGCTCCTTCTGATGAAGCTGAACTTTTTAACATGGTTGCAACTGCTGCTGCCATAGATGACAGACCTAGCTGTTTCAGGTATCCGAGAGGAAATGGGGTGGGTGTAGAACTGCCACAAGGGAACAAAGGCATTCCTCTTGAGGTATGGTTTAATTAACTCTCTCCACCTGCTGTCCCCATGGTGAAGGAAAACTTCGGGAAGTTTGAACAGTTTAAAATTTGATACATGATTTTAAATTTCACAACAGGTTGGAAAAGGCCGAATACTGATTGAAGGGGAGAGAATAGCACTTTTGGGCTATGGAACAGCAATTCAGAGCTGTTTGGCTGCAGCTAATTTAGTAGAAACCCATGGGTTACGGTTAACAGTTGCAGATGCACGTTTCTGCAAACCATTGGATCGTACTCTTATTCGCAACTTGGCAAAATCACATGAGGTCTTAATCACGGTGGAAGAAGGATCGATTGGTGGTTTTGGATCTCATGTTGCTCAGTTCATGGCCCTAGATGGGCTTCTTGATGGGAAAATGAAGGTATATATCTGAACTGCTGGTTGTCTTTTAGTGGTAGATTCGGTTGTTACAAACTCTAAATTGCTTCAATTTCCTTTGAGAAATGTTTGGAGTTTTTATCTAGCAGAAAATGTGAAAAAGGGTTGAATTTGAGCTCTGCAATTACAAAAATGGCTTGAAATTTGAAAATGTCATCGTATGTTGTTGAAATTCCATTGATATTGTAGTTCTTTTATCAACAGACAATACGAGGTGATCCAATACATGTGGATAGCGAGTAATTGACGATCTTGTACTTTTTTGCTATGCATATATGTTGTTTTTGTCTTGACAAAGCTAGCATTGGAGTCTGTTTTGGAGCACTCATTTTGTGTCCTTGAAATTTCTGCAGTGGAGACCGCTGGTTCTTCCTGATCGATACATTGACCATGGATCCCCAGCTGACCAACTTGCCCAAGCCGGTCTCACACCATCTCATATAGCAGCAACAGTATTCAATATACTTGGACAAACAAGAGAGGCTCTGGAGATCATGTCTTAGACCTGTTTGAAGTTTGTGTTTCTCTCAACATTCTACTGTTCATATCCTAATATCATTATTGTAAAATGCAGTCGCAGCATCAATACAGACTAAGGCTTAAAAGACTCAGAACCTCATGTTGCTTACAAATATGCAAAGATTGATATAAAATCTTTCCTCTTGGAACCATTGTATGATTTATTGTATGTTAAGGTTTAACTTTTTTTGTCAAGCCTCATTTTTATGATTTTTATGATTATTGAAAGACTGAAACTGCTAAACTCATACCTGCAACCGCAACAAGAAAGATTTGAGCGTCATAAAAGCTATACAATAGAAATGGCTAACGAAATGGATTCTAGGCTGACTCCCTTCTCGCCTTCTCCCATCTTGCCTTCTTGTACATTAGGGGCATGTTTGTTTGGGTGATTATATGTGGGTGATATTGGAAATGTATTCTTTACATTTCCAATATCAATGAAAATTAGTATCGATAATAGAAAATGTTTTAATTCCTTCGCATGTTTGTTTGTTCAATAGGTACTGTGGTGAGTCTCACAAATAACCATCTATTATATCACATTTATAACAAATATATCATTTTACTCTTAATATCATTCATTCCATTACTCCGTTTGTGTAACGCTCACAATGTTTGGTATAATATAGGATATAATAATCCACGTCCAAAAAATTTTAAACAATGTAAAAAATTTACATAAAAAATAAAAACAATGTAAAAAATTTACATAAAAAATAAAAAATCTGATGCTATGAATCAGTGATACCGTAAAAAAAAATTAAAAAAAAAATCGATAACACTGTACGCTTAAACATAATACATGAAAAAAATTCAAAATAATTTTTTTAAAAAAATTTTAAAAAAAAACTGGTAACACAGTACGCTTAAACATAATAAAAGGAAAAAATTTAAAATAATTTTTAAAAAAAATTAAAAAAAAAACAGTAACATCGTACGCTTAAATATAATATAAGAAAAAAAAATTGAAAAAAAACTAGTGACACTGTACACTTAAATACAATACAAAAAAAAAAAAAAATTCAAAATAAATTTTTTATATGTCAAATCTTAACAAAAGAGAGCATTTGTATCAATTTACATGTTTGTACTGTCCTTTCATTTAACCTAGGAAGATAATACACTGGGTAAGTGGTACTCATTAATACTATGTACAAGGTTTAAATGATATTGTTTAAATCAGGTCAGTATTACGATCTGAAAAATAGTACTGTGTGTAAAATACCAAACAAATAAGGTAATAAGGGAGTTCTATGTACTATTTTCTTCTATCCCACCCTATAATGCCATGTACTGCTTGAAACAAACTTGCCTAAGGGAATAATTTGGTTTCGAATTCTCACGAATATATTTTCTTTCGATTAATCTCAATAATAGGCCACATACCTTAAATTTAAAGTTGACCCATTATAGATAAAGTCGGTTTTAGATCAATATCTAGTGGGTATTACTTTATAAAAGCGATTAAACTTGTATTAAAGAGAATTTGAATCGGAATAAAAAATCTGACACCTTTTTTTGGGATAAGGAAAATGGCATCTATAGCCGACCACCTTTTAGTGGGTCTTATTGACGTTTTCAATTCTGTTCCAGATTGATAGATTCCGAGGCATTAAGAGGGGGGATGGTGGGAGATTGGTATAGTTGTTCTTCAATCATACGTGTTCCTATGATTTTGTGCCAACCATATAGATGCCTAGTTAGTGCACACTTTCAAATCCACTAATATTGGCTTGTCGCTGGGAGATGTTGATTGAGTCCTAATTTATTGTAATTGGATTCGTGTATGTGTCAAGAAGAGGCATTTTCTCTTATCTAGGTCTCACAATTCTAAATAAAGACTCGTGAAATCAACACAAATTTGATGCAAATTTAGTAAGTTTGGGTGGAGTCTTAATAGATTCGGATAATTAACGGGTTAATTCAGTAGACCCGTGAAATAAACGAATCGATTTCATGTTTAACCCAAAAACTTGTTTCAACTTGTTCACAGTGGTACTATAATTTTTTTTAAAAAAAAATTAGCTCTCTCAGCCCCCGTCTCATTTCACACCTCTCATCTCTCAGACTCATTCAAATTTAGTATTCATTTAGTGTTTATTTTTTGTTATTATTTTTTTGCTCAGCCATGATTTATTGTTATAAGAAATAAGTAAAACATGTGTAATGTGTGGCGAGTTGATGATTTTTTGTGTGGACTTGAAATACTCTAACCTATTCTTTTATTTAGCGGGTGACACACAAATTATATCAAAGAACCCGTCTAATAAACAATTCGTGTATGAGTGTGATAATTTGACTTGTTTATATAAACGAATGAGATATGAATAAAGAATTTTTTTTGACATAAATCTATTTCACCCAACATAAAATCGTTCTACTCAACACAATTGCCGAACCTAGTAGTACTTGTATACAAAGTTCTCGTCTATCCCAACGTTTAGAAGAAGTAATTGATAGACCCTCTTTATCCCAAATTTGCAAAGTTGATTCTTAAACTCGTACTCCAGCATAGCACTATGTTCTTGAACTTCGATCCAAAGCATAGTCAACAAGCCGGGCCAACGTGGTCCGCTAGGCAATGGCCCATGATGGGTCGTGGGCCTCACTATCCTACAATCCTCTGATTTATGATTCACAATTTGAATAAATTGTGAGTTTCAATATCATAGAATTCAATTTTAATCTAATAATTTCATTAAATTAGGTCCCTAAATTAGGAAAAAATATTCACTACAACGGTGACATCATGCCATTACCGCTACATGGTGTCACCATCCAATTAGAAGATAACAAATAAGTAAAATTGATCTCACTATTCTATGTGTTGCTGATTAGATTTAGTAGTTACTAATAGTTATAAAAATAATGAGATCCACTTTACCTATTTATAGTCTTTTAATTAGATAATGACACTACATGACAGTGATGATGTGTTGTATCACCGTTGCATATATTGATTGAACATACAATCTACGTCATCCCGTTAATAGGGTATAATTGCCTAATAATAAGAAGACAACAAGTGGATTCTACGTAATTAAATAACTATTCATCTATGTCATACAATTTATTTGTTGTCTTATCATTAGATGGTTACACCATGTCAGAGTGATGATGTGGTGTAAAGGTAACCGTTACACCCAATATTAAAACTAACCCTATTCCACCAATTATCTCAAATGTGTTCAAATGCTATGAAAGTATAGGGATTGTTTTCAAATTAGTCACAAATAATCATTGCATGTTTATATAGTTTCTCTCTGTTTCAAACAACTATTTATATTCCACCTTGTCCTGAAAATGTTAATCTGGTAAGTAAATTTAAATGCAGTCAAACACACAAAAAAGGAATGGTAAAATTATCAACCCTAGAACACTATCAAAATCATATCACTCGGCATTGTTTTCACAACTTCTCTTAACCCTATTCCACACCTGTCAAATGAATTATAAGATTGAGATCTGCTTCAAAACTAAGTTCTCTCAACGTTAAATCATTTATGTTATAAACCGAAAAAGTGACACATTATATTCAATTATTCTTTCATCAATACACACGAAGGGTGATTGGATAAATGTTGATATCAATTATAATCCAAAAGCATACACAATTTCACCTACGATACCCAAAAAAAATCTGATATCGGGGAGAGAAGTCGTATAAGAATTCATGCGTGCAAACTTGTCTACATTATTGAGCAAGCATTTGGATTCTCATCGCTGAACATGGTATAAACTAGGCAGTCTCCAAAATAATCAAACACTAAGCAATCTGCGACTTGCTTTGAAGTTCCTTGCAATGCAGAATCTTCTTCTTTTGCATCATTTTTAGGGTCTTCTTTATTAATCACAATCTCTGCTCTCTTTCCTGTTTTCTTCTTAAGTTTCTTCAAGACTTTCTCTGGATTGATCCGGCCAGTTACTACCACTTTGTGTTTGGTCATATCAGTCATGAACTTCTCAACCCCTTAATTAAAGAGCAAACCAAAAGAACTTATGGGTACTTCTTGCATTAAATATGAATGCATCTCAAATAGCATTTTCCTTTTCAAATATTCTAGGTTAATGCATATATAAATTCTTCACTCCAACACACGCACACACACACAAACAGAGAGAGAGAGAGAGAGAGAGAGAGAGGGGGGGGGGTTTGGAGATGGCTTTGGCAATAGTTCTTTGACACCCCATTACAATGCATTGACACTTTGATTTCTGCCATTGCACCAACACTTCCACCCAACTAACCCCAACACACATTGTGATGCACCCTTCCCCCGACACACACACACATACATACATAGAGAGAGAGAGAGAGAGAGAGAACCTTTCATTTTGGAGATGGCTTTGACAACCGTTCTTTCACATCCGTTACAATGCATCGAAACTTTAAATTCTGCCACTACAACCTGTTCATGGCCCCCAAAAAAAGTAATCCTATAATGAAAGGTAATTAATGGAAAATACTGTGTTTTGGGTGAGAATCACAATAATATATACAACACACATATTTCTTACTTTATCTTCTTTTATTTTCTTCTTATCGGCCATTGAAACTGTAAAAAAAAAGCGCAAAGAATCATCAATAGAATCTAATACATTTTTTTTTTCAAACGGTTGGCAAGGACAATCTAGTAATTGCCCGAAGTTAGTTACTGCATTGTAATGGCCAATCGGGAAGCATCCCTCTCATATGGGGTCGTAAAGACGTCAAATAATTTTTTTTGTAAGCGGCCGGCCACTTAATTACACCATAACCAACTCGAGTCAATTGAAATTACACAATAACCCTGTCCATGGATCGAGATTCCCACCAATACCCTTAGGGCTTGTTTGTTTGAGGTATAAGGGTGGTATAAAAAAAATAGTACGTGGGATCTACCTTAAATCTTGTTTGTTTGACATTTTTTACCAAGTACTAATTTTTGGGTCATAGTACCGACCCGGTGTGAACAGTAATACTAATGCCTTCTACATGGTGCTATTCAATACCACCTATCCGGTGGTATAATATTCTTGGTATAAATGAATGGAGGTATAATAAACTAAAAAGATCAAAATACCCTCATGTACAATGCCTATATAAAAGCTTAGTTGCAATTTTTGACTTTTTAAGGTTAAAATTATCTTTTTATATTGGTTAGCCGTAATTGTTGACTTTTTTAAGTAGGTATTACATAAATAATATTTGTGACAAACAAACAAGGGAAAAAATGGAATTATAGTTTAAGACCGGGTATAATATACTATTGGATCGGAGTGGAATAGATATAAATTCTTATACCACCTAAATCTTATACTCGAAACAAATGACCTCTTGCAGTATTAGATTTTGGTGGTATAAGAAATCATTTTCATTCCACTCCTATCCAATGGTATACTATACTCGGTCTTAAACTTTTATTTCATCTTTCCCTTTGTCTGTTTGTTCAACGGGTACTGTGGTAGGTTCTACAAACAACCATCTATTTTAACACAACTTATATAATAAATATACCATTTTACCCTTAATATCTCCCATTCCATTACTTCGTTTGGGTAATATTTTTGCATAATGTTTGGTATAATAAATAATCTAATGCTATGAATCGGTAATACTGTAAAAAAATTTTTTTAAAAAAATCGGTGATATCATACGCTTAAATATAATACAAGAAAAAAATTCAAAATATTTTTTAAAAAAATCGGTGACAACATACGCTTAAACATAATATAAGGAAAAAATTTAAAATAATTTTTAAAATTTTTTTTTAAAAAAAATCGTTAACACTGCACAATTAAACATAATAGAAGAAAAAAATTCAAAATAATTTTTTTTTTAAAAAAAATATGAAAAAAAAATTGTTAATACCATATGCTTAAACATAATATAAAGAAAATTTTAAAATAATTTTTTTTAAAAAAATTAAAAAAAAAACCGATAACAACGTACGCTTAAACATAATACAAGAAAAAAATTTAAAATAATTTAAAAAAAAAATCGGTGACACCATAAGTTTAAACATAATAAAAGGAAAAATTCAAAATAATTTTTTTAAAAAAAATTCGGTGACACCGTACGTTTAAACATAGTACAAGGAAAAAATTCAAAATAATTTTTTAACAAAAACAGTAACACCGTACGTACGCTTAAACATAATACAAAGAAAAAATTTAAAATAAATTTTTTATATATAAATTCATAACAGAGGAGGGCAATTATGTCATTTTACTCTCTTATACAGTCCTTTCATTTATACCTGGAAGATAATACTATCTGATAGGTGGTATTTAATAGTACCATATAGAAGGCATTTAAGACACTGTTTACACCAGGTCAGTACTACAATCCAAAAAATAATACCGATTAAAAAATATCAAACAAACAAGGTATAATATGTGCCCTCCGTACTATTTTTCTAATCTCATCCCCTTATACCACCCATATGCTGCAAACGAACAGACCTTTACTCTTCAATTCTCTTATTCACATATCATCAATCATTAATAAGTAAGGGGCCCATTGGCCACTTAATTACACCATAACCAACTCGAGGCTATTGAAATTACACAATAACCTTGTTCATGAATTTAGATTCTCTTCAATACACTTACTCTTTAATTCTCTTGTTCATACATCATTTACCATTAATAAGTGATTGACCCATTTATATACAGTTGGTCTCATTTGAATGTATAGTAGATAATGTGCTAAGAAAAAAATTGAATATAAAGTATATTGGAAGGGATTTAACACTTCTTGTCCACAAGTAAGCATATGGTCAAACATTATCGAGAAGCGAGAGATCTGCTCTCATTTTGTTTTCATGTCGCTAGCAAGGGAGTTGGCTTTAATACCGTTTTTATTTTTTTTGGCACTATACCGAAAAAGTAAAAACGGTGTATTGAAGGCACGTATACACCTCAAAATTGATAGCCAGTTTCACTGGTATAAATATAAAAATAGGTGATAATAGAAATTCAAATTTAAAAATAAGTGATAATAAAAATTAAAATTAGTTTTAAAAAATGATAATTATTTATTATATTTAAACCTAAAATAAAAATATAAGAAAAAATTTATAATATTTGGGATTATTGAGTGAAATTAAATTTACATTTTAGATTAAGCTAAAAATATTAGGAGGTTAGATTAGTTTATCCAAGTTCACCACTATTTTAAGTGATAATAAAAATTAAAAAGGGTAATGTTAACCAAAAAAAGTGGTACTCTTATCTCAACACTGTAATCTTAACTAAAAAAGTGATAATCTTAATCAAAAAAATGATAATGTTAACAAAAAAAATGGTACTCTTAACCAAAACAAGTGTAATTTTAATAAAAAAAAGTGGTAATGTTAACCTAATAAATGGTAACATTAACAAAAAAAGTGGTAATGTTAATCAAAAAAATTGTAATGTTAACCAAAAAAATTGTAATGTTAACCAAAAAAATAGTAATCTTAACTAAAACAGTGGTAATGTTAACAAAAAAAGTGGTACTTTTAACTAAAACAAAGTTTAATTTTAACAAAAAAAAAGTGGTACTCTTAACCAAAAAAAATGGTAATGTTAACAAAAAAAGTGGTACTTTTAACAAAAAAAATAAAAAAGTGGTGATGTTAACAAAAAAAATGGTACTCTTAACCAAAAAAATGATAATGTTAACAAAAAAAGTGGTAATGTTAATCAAAACAGTAATACTTTTAACTAAAAAAAGTGGTAATGTTAACCAAAAAAAAATTAGTACTTTTAACCAAAAAAAATGGTAATGTTAACAAAAAAAAATGGTACTTTTAATCAAAATAGTGGTAATGCTAATAAAAAAAATAGTACTTTTAACCAAAAAATGGTAATGCTAACAAAAAAAAAGTGTTACTCTTAACCCAAAAAATGACAATGTTAACAAAAAAAAAGTAGTACTCTAACTATAATCTGAACCTTAGTTTTAATAAATGATGATGATTTTATAATCTCTTGAAAGGTTCATAAGGATAAAAACAATTCTGCAACTACATCTTCTTCTTTCTCCTTCTTCTTTGTCTAAGTTTATTTTTTTTTATGAATTTGTAAGGCTTAGTGGTAGCCGATAAAAAGTGATACACTTAATCAATGGTTGGAAGTTCTTCATTTCATTCATAGGGATAAAAATCACTCTGCAACTCCATCTTCTTAAATCTCTTTTTTCTTCTTTTGAGTTTTTTTTTTTTTAATAAATTTGTAATGCTCAGTGGATAGCCGATAAAAAATAATAAACTTGATCAACGATTAAAAATTGTTCATTATACATCTATCGTTAATTTTGTTTTTTCAATATCATATCACAAAAAATGGATAATCGAATCGCCCCTTGCAAGAGTCTGATCCAAGATCCAAGACATTATTATGATGACGTGGTTGATCTGATTTATCCCTTTGCATCATCAAATTCAGCGTCAACTTGCAGTATTTTGAAATTATAGTTGTTTGAGCATGCAGGAAAGGAGGGTTCATTAATGATTGACAAAGAATGATATAATGTGAACCTAATGTTGACTTTGCTAATCAAACGGTAATAATTGATTACATTATGAATTAAGTCTATAAATTAAGTTCTAAGTTACAGTAATCATTGACACTAACAATCGAATGTAAATAATAGCAAATACTGCATGTGCCAAACCCTTTCTTAGACCTTTTCTTGCTAAATATTACAATGGCTTGGCCATTTTTCATTTCATGTTACAACAAGAATGCATGAATTATCAAGTATATAAAGAAAACAACAATCACCGTAATGGATAATAGGAAGCAAAGACTTGGCCAATTTTCTACATTACAACAACAATAATACAATGAGAAAAAAAAAAGACACTTCAATAGATGAGATTTTCGTTACTGTAGAGTTTAAGAAGGTCAGTTGACAATAATGACGTTGATTAGACAACCACGTTTAGGCATTAACAACCCTGCAATTTTTTCTAACCTCGCCATTGCCTCCTGTAAGTATTTCAATGGCACCCATTTTCACCATTGATTGAGCAAAGCTAGCAAAGAAAAAAGGGGGTTGCTGCAGCAAACGAGCTATCTGAGCCGAATGCGGGTCGGTGAGCAATGCTGCATCTGATTGAAAAAGACCCATGTGCTGGTTCACAGCTTTAAAGTAATGGCTGTCAAAGGAGAGTGAGCTATGGGGGTCCATTTCAATGGTGGTTGTTGGGTTGATAGGAATGGGGCAGAGTGTTCGTAAAGTGTTGGCGTAGTCGGGATTGAGGGACGGATCTGCATCACCCTTTCCAGTGAAATTGTAGAGCCTTTTTGCCACCAAAGTACAATGTGAGACTCCAATAGTGTGTGCCCCTACACAAGTTTGATTGTTTCATGTTAGGTTAGTTAATCATCAGTGAATCAACAAGAAATTTTTTTTCACTCGCTGATAAATCGATGCAAAGTTAACTATAGCTTGCAGGTTCGGGTCATAAACCAGATGATTTATCATGAACTTGCTAAACAAGAGTTATACACGACGTACCTGATAAGGTCACAAGATCCACAATATCTAGTCCATTATTTGCAAAATTTTGCAAAAGTGTGGGGAAGTTAGAAAAGGGTGATGGCAAGTCGTTTTTCGCTTCAGAGGCAAGTGAAACTCTTCCATCTTTTCTCCCAATAAAAACCGGCCACATCGGTCTTTGGAACTGCATATATATTGCCATAAAAGTCAAGATATAGGGCGATAATCTTTGACGTGACACTTCAACAAGTCACGAATATGACACGAAATTCTTGTCACATACCCATAATAACACAACCCCGAACAAACATATGTGTGATCTTATTACCTGATATGAAACTGCATCTCGAGCTGCCAAGGCAACGATATCAGCACAAGACACAATTCCTGGGCATGCTTCTTCAAGTTTTTCCTTGATGGCATCAATGACATCATATCCAGAAAGAGATAGGTTTGGCAATGCTGCTTTCTCAGCTGTATTGTTCTGGGTTGAGTCCAATAGTATTGATGCATCACAGCCCTGCAAATGAATGAAATGCATAATTAATACTGAATTAAAAAGAAAAGGTCCTTAAAATTTGACATTCCATAGTGCTGGGCAAAAAGCTCGTGGCCCATGGGCTGACCATTAGCCCATGAGCCACCAATCCATGGGCTGACTTGACCCGTTGCATGACAGCCCATGGACAGCTTGATAGCTAACGGGTAGGGCTAGGAGTCACGATTTTTATCTTGCTAAGGTAGCTCGTGGGATGATTGATAAAATTCAAAAAAGAAATTGAATATAAGTTAGGTTAAATAGGCTCATTAGGGTTTACCCCCATCAGTAGCCGATTAATGGTCCATTTAAACTGGCCTGATAGGTAGGCTATGGGTCATAGTCTTTTCGGACACGCTAGCCCAGCCTGTTGACTGTCAATGATCCGTCTCCTTGGTCTACGGGCCCATTGCCAACCCTCAAATTTGTTGACATAACGAAATTAAACTGGTCAGATTCAAGCCGATTTTAAACGTGTTTTGGAGGTCATCCATAATTTTGTAATACGCATGCAAAAATACAGCATAAAGATGATTTAAATCACAATGTACATGAACAGCTAGCATAAATGGATGGAAATAATGCAGCATACCCTAACAAAGCAATCATGGTAATGAAGCCTTAGCAACTTAGCTGCCAAGCTACGGTTCAGTGCAACTTGGCTCCATGTGATGTCCCTTGCAATGCTCTCAGCTAAAGGGCAACTCTTACTATAGTACATCATCCTCAGCCCACCTCCATTCCCATTACTAGCAACTCGACCTCCATTCCTATCACCCCCATTCCTATCACTAGCAACTCCAAGTACCATAAGAGAAAGAAGCAAAATACAAAAGCTTGGTCTCATTGTTTCTATACGATCTCAAAGCTAAAATGATTTCAAAGTGCTTTCTGCGATTAATTGGATGAATCCAAGTTTCTCTTAGAAACAATTTATAGCCTTATAGGTGCCATCAACCACCTTAATTTATTCTTGGAGCTTTAGCTTTTAATGTTTTAAAATTTAATCATGCCGGCTACTTCTTTTCATGATTTGAGGACAAAGAATGACTAGTGAAAGTCAATTATATTAAAAAAATAGCTGTTTCCTATCAATATCATTGAAGATTATGGTTCATTGGATAGCCTCCTAATTCCCTATTTTTGGTACATATTCAATTGATATTCTCCTTAGCTAAAACATATAAAAAAAATGTACCAAGTGCAAAATATTTACATTTAAGTTAGAATTTGAGAGAGATAAGTAATAGACAATATTCCCATGATTTGAATAGGTTAATTTTGAATCTCAAACTCTTGTGATATATCAGTTTTATAGATAAACACTTGTCATCGCTCTAGTTCCGTCTGCTCTCCTTATTGACAAGTGTTTTGTTTTCTTAAATAAATGAATGGGAATGCCAGCAACACCTCCTTAATACTCTTTTCAAAGAGCTCTAATTAAGGTAAGGTCAAAGGTTGCAGTTTCATTTTTTTCAAATCACGCAACATTGCACGTCCCCTACAACATATCTGTTCAGTATTTGTTGTCTCCTTTAGAACAAGAGCAATGTTATATGGATTTAAAAAGTAGATTTAATAATCTCAACTATTGATTTTATTGTGGGTTTCAGTATTTTTTAGGACCCACTACCTATTAAATGGTTGAAATTATCAAGTTCTTAGAACAACAGTGACAGAATGTCATAGTCGGGGAACATAATCCTTCCTCTCCTTTGTTTTTCCAGTTTGACATTTCATCCACCACTATAGCTGTCAAATGAATTGCACCTCGAAAGGTCAAGGAAAAAAAAATGTTTACGACAGACGTGGCTTCAAGAATTGTTTGTGAACCGTATTTTTTGGTTAAAAATTATAATCGGTCTCTATTTGGCCTTTGAACTTTCAATTTTTTTAATTTAATCTCTCAATTATTAATTTCGTTTTAATTAAGTCTTTTCACCAATTTTCATCGGTAGATGAACTGGAGATTTGTCAAACCTGATCCATTTTCAATGTTGATGGGTGGATGGAAGGATATAATTAGGATAAAACTTATAGTTGATGGACTAAATTGAGATAACTAAAAGTTCAATTACCAAATTAAAATCGAGAACAAAGTTAACGGACCAACTATAAGTTTCGATAGTGAATGCTTTTAAATTTAACAAAGCTGGCTACTTCTTTCATGATTTGAGGACAAATAATGATTAGTGAAAGTCAATTCTATTAAAAATAAGTGCTTCCCATCATTGAAGATATAGTTCATTGAATGGTGTTTTTTATTTTCCACCAAAAGCTATAACCACATATCTATCTAGACATAACATCAACAAGTTCACCACAAGTTTGAATAATTTAGCTTTTGTAGACAATCCCAATAATAAACTTATTGACAACTTTGACATTACAATGATGAAATATTAAAAGGTTCAATCATTGGGTACCCTCCTAATTCCTTATTTTGGTACCCATTCAACGTATAAAAACAAAATTTACCTAGCACACCAAATTTACGTTTAAATTGGAATTTGAGACATAAGTAATAGACTATATTACAGTCATTTTGAATAGATCGATTTTTGATTTGATACACATGATATATCACTTCTATAGGTGAATACATGTCATCGCTATAGAGACCTGACTTCTTTTCATGTTGATGAGTGTTTTGTTTTCTAAAATAAATGGAGGAAGAATGTGTTGTTGACAATAGTGACCTCATCTTAATACTTTATTCAAGGAACTCTAGTTTTCTTTCTTTTTTTGAAAATAAACAAGCAAGATATTCATGACGTAGGAAAATTATGGTTACAGTGTTGACAATAAAGCCTTAAGTTCGGGAGGAGTACTGCCCACCCAAATCAAAGGGATTGAGTTGGATAACTTCATGACTATAATCCAATGAACTACTCTATTTTGAGCTCTCAGCTTGTGTAAAAAACTTAAGGTAAGACCTTTAGCAAAATACCTAATATTACTTGATGATGCACAAATTAGTTTACACACCACTAGTCAAGTTATAGTATAAAATGTAGTAAAATAAGTAGAGAAAGAAAGAGAACAAGGTTTATAGTGGTTCGGTTAATACGACCTACGTCCACTTTGAATGGCTAGGTTCGTCGGAATTTTATTATCTCCGGTGTGGAGGGAGATCACATGATTACAAGTTTTGAGAAGGGAGGAGAGAATTATGCTCAAATGAGTCTGATGCCCCCCAAGTGTCAGAGGAGCTTACAATTTATAGTGGTTTGGCGTAGTAATTGTATGACTATTCTGACGGTCATTATGGCTTAGGACCGTTTGATAGTAATTAGGTAGCTGATTCGGCGGAGGCGATCTATCATCTTCTCAACGGGCGAGGTGTGACGGTTGGTGTGCTCTCCAAAAGACTTGGTCAAGGATGACGGTTGGTGGCAGGCTTCTGGTGACGGCATCTTCCAATAAAGTGCAACACGAAGGACCTGCTCAGCTCAGCAAATGAGCTGATGGAAGCGGGGGTGATCTTGGCGAACCACTGTCAAACGGATCCCTTCAAGGTGGTTGGGAACGCTTTGCATATGATTTTGTTAGGGACGTTGTGCAGTTGCATCAAGGTCTTAAAAGTTTCAAGGTGGTCCAATGGATCCTTCATACTATCAAAGGTTTCGACGGATGACATCTTGAAGTTTTGAGGGAGTGGGTAGCTCGCCACGTCAAGTTTGAAAGGTGTGTCGGTTCGACTTACAAGGTAATCCACTATCTCAGGTCCTCGTGCCTTTATGGCGTTGAAAACATCACCCAATTGATTCTGCATCTCCTTAATTTTTTTGTCCCAATGATTAAGAGGAGGTCCCTTGGAATTACTATGGATATGGCTCCCATGCTCTAAGCTTTAGTTTTCACTCTCGTCCTCTTGAAAAAGAGGGTTTCCATTATGAAAAGAGAGAACTGGAAGAGGAGGTGGAGGTCCCTTGTGGGGAACTCCCCTGTGCGGGGCGCTTGAGGGGGCTCCAAAGGGGGCGCTCAGATGAGGAGCACCCATGTGGGGAGCTCCTTGATGCCCAGGGCATGGAGCTCCTCTAACTTGAGGTCCAGGCTGTGCTCCTCCTCCTAGATGAGGAGCGCCCATGTGGAGAACTCCTTGACGCCTAAGGAGCATTAGTTGTAGGACCTGTTGGTTCTGGGCCGCAAGTTGCTGCATGGTCTCGAGCATCTGCTGCTCATTTGGGGTAGAATTGGTTGGTTAAGGAGCAACCTCCTCCCCTCTTGGTGGTGGGTTATCTTCACACCGATTCATGGATCTTTTGGTGATCGACTTTGACTCAGCAGGAGAGTGACTAGGTGAGAACTGTGGTTCCCACAGACGGCGCTAAACTAATGATGTACAAATGAGTTTGCACACCACTAGTCAAGTTATAGTATAAAATGCAGTAAAATAAGTAGAGGAAGAAAGAGAACAAGGTTTATAGTGGTTCGGTAAATACGACCTACGTCCACTTTGAATTTTTAGATTTGTCAAAATTTTATTATCTCCGGTGTGAAGGGAGAACACATGATTACAAGCTTTGAGAGAGGAGAAGAGAATTATGCTCAAATGAGTCTGATGCCCCCCAAGTGTCAAAGGAGCTTACAATTTATAGTAGTTTGACGTAGTAATTGTATGACTATTCTGACGGTCATTATGGCTTAGGATCGTTTGATAGTAATTAGGTAGCTGATCTGGCGGAGGCGATCTATCATCTTCTCAACGTGCGAGGTATGACGAATGGTGTGCTCTCCAAAGGACTTGGTCAAGGATGAGGGAGGTTGGCTCTCTCCAGGCTACCAGGGTGAGGCTCTTGGGTGCTCCTTGGTGGCGTAGAGGAGGCTCTTGGATGACCGTGCATGCTCCGCTGCTGATGTAGCTCCTTGATCTTGATAAGGTTATTCGGGTGTAGACTCCTTTGGGCTTAACTAGCTGGATCTCTTGGAATTGGGCCTTTAGCTCGGGCCAGACTTATAACATGGAACTCTAGTTAAGGCAAAGGTAAAAGGTGATGAAATTTCATGACTTTGCAAGTCCCCTAAGGTTTGCCCGTTTTGTCTTTGTTGTCTCCATTAGAACAACATGGCACTATGTCATATTCCCTTTTCACTCTATTTTTTTTTTTGGAATTTCATTAAACACAATAGCTGTCAAATTAATTACACCTAAAAAGATCAAGGACAAAAATATTTACTTCCGACTCTTCAACAATTGTTAGTCAACCTCATTTTTGCGATCATTGAACAATTCATTTCATTTTTTAAATCTCTCTCTCTCTCTCTCTCTCTCCATGCTTCCTTTCGTTGTGGAAGACATTTCGCTATTTTACTTAACAATCACCATTTGGTTATGTTAACTATCCTAACTTTGAGCCTTTTTTAAATCACTTGACCAATAATAGATATTTGTTCTTTTTTGCTTAGAAAAAACGAGAATGTACTTGTCAAACGATCTAAACAGCTCAAACTCAACCTGATGATACACAAAATTGATTTGCATACCACCCGTCAATTAAGCAATATAAAATGTAGTAAATAGATGGAGAAATAAAATAAGGTTTATAGTGGTTCGGTCAATGAGACCTATATGCAATTTCAATGGTTAGGTTCGTCGGGAATTTTATTGACTCCGATGTGGTGGGAGAGCAAGAATTACAAGAGAGAGAGAGAGATGAGCTTGAATTTGTTGAGATGCCCCCCAAGTGTTGGGAGAACTTACAATTTATAAAAGCCTGCGTAATAATTGAGTAGCTTGACAGTTATAACGAACTGGAGGCAACTTAATAGCTGATGACCTCTCCTCTTCTTGACGACCTCTCCTCTCCT